AAACAAAAACATCCAGTGGAAATGTCATTAACATGTGCTAATATTCAGTCGCTGCTTTGTGTGCAAGTCGCTCGACACACAATAGGGAATCCTAATATTAAACTGGTCAATATTGACAGCGTGTCCATTTGATAATTGGAACGCCAAATGCTGGCAGCCTGAGAAACGCTCTGTTAAGAGATATTAATGAATGCTAAATGATGAGGCTACACATTTGTGTGGCTAAAACACATAGCCTCGGGGGGCAGGTGTCCTCATAATTCATTACGCATTGCAAAGCTAAGCACACGAGCACGATGTACATAATCGTATCTTCATGGTAGTTGCCGATTTCTCTTCAGTTGCGTGACACAAATGAAATAAACACATTGTGATCCGTGCCATGTAGACCCTCGGGGAGGGATTAAAGGGCGTTTCAGTGATACAAATTCGATGGCTCGACCCTCCTTGGCATCTCGGAGAGTGAGCTAGGAAAGGGTTTAGCTCCAGCAAAAAGCGCAGAGACCCAACAGCAGCTTTTAATTTATCTGATGGGCCTGCGGTGGCCTCCAGGCATGCAAGTAGTGCCAATATTATTGATAATTTACATGGAATAAGATGTTGGTGGGAATTCAGACAGAAATATTAGAGATTAATGAGAATTAAGTCAAATTCAAAGCCATCAGATGTGCTCATCGTGACGGGGTGATGCTGGGTAACTTCTCACAATCAGGACGTGACCTGAACTGTACTCCTTCACCAATCAAATCAATTAAGTTCAATTGAGAATGATGAGGGTCAATTACAAAACTCGATGTGTGACCAATCACAAGTAACTCACCTCTGGCTGTTTGACACGGCCCTCCTGGAAAGAGCAGCTACTCGGATCGTGGGTGCACGTGTGACGGTATTTGCACCAGTGGCACTGGTATGGGCTTCCAACACAGGACAGACACCTGGGATAGGCAACGGGTGTGGATTAATGCAGTTAGATTGAGTGTTCGTGAAAGTATACACGACTGCACTAAAATCATTGCAAATATAAAAGATACTCACGACTTGTGAACGCTGCAGTTGTAGAAGACAAAGCTAGTGTTGGCAAAAGCTAGTCCTGTCTCCTTTGACTTGAGGTAGAGCTGGACAATCTGATGGTCACCTAAGAGATGGAGGAGGGGAAACATTAAGAGTGTTGAAATACCTGATAGTGTGCTGCCCACAGAAATATCAGTTTAAAGCTCAATGAGCTGCCTGCAGAGACCACAGTTTGTTCCAAAAGGTGGGTGACAATGAACTGCAACAAGGTTTACTCAATATTTGTCTTATAATAAGACACTCTACAGTATATACCAAGGTGGTTAACTCATATTATGATGAAAGGGAGAAAGTGCAGCGAGCAATATGGCAGAATATGTCTGGTTAGCTCCGGTTCCCATAGAAACAGTCCTGAAATGCGCACTTGGTACTGTACATGCGCATTGACTGGGCCATATATATATATATATATATATATATATATATATATATATACTCTTTTTTAACATAACATATCAGATTTTGTTGATGATTAGAAATAATTAAATGTGCGTTTGGTAAGCAGTTTGTTACTTCCTCGTACACTGACTTTGCTTGAAAGTGATTTTGAGTCTACTGTGCATTTTAGAGTTTCAGGCTGTAAAATATCAAACCCACTCTACCAAACTCTATATAGCAAACTAGCAGTTATCTTTTGTACATACAAGCTAAGGTTCTTAATAGCAAGTAGGTTATATAGTGTGCGGATTCAGGTGACTGCCCCTGAAAACCCTTCCCAAAAAAGCATTCTTGAAGAAGAGGAAGAGAGACAGAGCGAGAGAAAGAAACCTGTATGAGTTAATGGAAATGTGGCACAAAAGTGCCCATCTTCAGTGTGTTTTTGTCTGAGCTAATGAAGAAGCTCATGTTTAATTCAACATGCCGGACACGACATCTCCCCTCTCGAAGGAAGATCTTACTTTTTCACCCTCTCTATCTATTCCTGTCTCTCCTTTTTTCGCATACTATTCTTCAACCTCTTTCTTGTTCTCCTAAAGCACTCCCCTTCCCTGTCATGCGACGTTTCTTCAACAAAGAGCGAACCATTCATCAATCACTGTAAAGTGTGCCTGACAATGAATCTGTCCTAATTAGTTCACCTAAATGTTACCTTGATGGCTGGTATCTCCGGAGTGTGTGTGCATGTGTGTGCGCAAGCCCCCTGCCACCCGCTGCAGAGTGTGTCTGCCTTTAATGAGTCACTCAGGACACACACTGTTACCATGACACTAAGAAATGGAAGGAAAGTGAGGAATATGGGAGAGAGAGCAAATACATGACCTATAACTGCAGGGGTATGCGTATGTGTGCACAGAGTATCCATAAAAACACATCATGATCATAACTTTAACGTTTTTTTTAATGATTTATCCAGGGCCGGGATTTAAATTTCATGGGGGGGCACAAATCACATTGAGCGGGGTGTTAATGCAATCTGTGATCGCGTGCATGTGCTGACGCTTGCGCAATGGCTTTTGTATGCGCGCTATTTTTTCCGATTTCACTTTCATTTTCGAACATGTTCAGCAAGGAGGGGAGCGGATGGAAAGGGATGCCCCCACCCCTTGACGCCGGCCCTGGAACAACGTAGAACAATGTAGAACAATCTTTTGTGTGTCAATTCACTTTTTTATCGGTTTTATTTTGATAAACATTACACAATACGCTATAGCATTAATATAACATGAAAAGAGTTTGTAACCCTATTAAAGCACGGGATGAAATACAGTGAGTGAGTCTGGTAAATCATAAATTAGCAGTCATCATCAAAGCTCGTGCAGCCAGCCGCGCTGGAGAAACTGCGATGACCGTAACCCGCATCTGCTCGCAAATCGCTCTTGCGGTAGCCTACTGGTAGGCTAGCTACACTGTTTCAAGTCAGACGCTGATTGATCTGCTCAAATCGAATACAACTTTATGCACTCTGCAGACGGTGCACCCATATTAGGGGTTAAATACACTGTGTGTATGACAGTGATGGTGTATGTATCTAGTAGTGTGTGTGTAAATGCGTGCACCCTCAGGTGTGTAATAGTGTACTTATCCAGTGGCGTGAGAGTGTGTGTTTGCACTGCGGCATTTCAGAGCTCTAGGCCCTTGCAGATTAGGCCGACCTGTAATTTCATGGTGGCCTGACTAGCCTCACATCTCCAATGAGACTTACATGCATCATTATTCACACACCTCACTGCCCTGCGCACAGCTCTTTCTACCTCACATCCAGGCCACTGTGCCACTTACTAAGGTAATTTGTGGGTGTTTCTATACGAGATGCTGTGAAAGAACATTGTTGCTTCTATTCTGCCTTGTATTTTGTTGTGTTTTACAATCTTTTTCCCCCCTCTTTTCGCCCTGGAAACACATGCAGAGAAGTATTCCTCCGTATCCGCTGTAGTGGGCGTCTTCATCATCTTTACGTTGAGACGTTTTCATATTATGAAAAATTACCATTCTCTAGACAGCTGCCCAGATGTGTGCTCGTTTCAATTATGTCGGGGTAACCAAGCACATCGGCGAGGCGTAAGAATGGCATCAATGAGAGTACGGAAGAGGATGGCGAAATGTTCTCTCTTGAAAAATCTTTTCTCTCTCTTATCTGCTGGAGTGAATGCTGTCAAAACCATTTTCAGCCGAGCAGATGGAGTGAAGAGTGTCATCAGTTCAGGAGATCCAATCCAATCACTTTACTTGAAAAATCTCTCAAACCTCAGTGCCAATGGAGCCTCAGAATGAAAGAGCGAAATGGAGAGAGACAGACGAGAGCACAGGAGACAGAATGCCAAAACTGCCTCCCTCTTGACGACCTTTATTCACTCAATTACAAAACACGTCCTGCGGCAAAAGTCAACAGCTGCAGGCAAGATAATGAGCATGTAAACTTCCATCTCTGCTCAGGTGCTTATGCCTATCACACTCTCTCACTTTCTTAGACGGTCTTCTCTCCTTCCCTCTGATATAAATCCAGCTTCTCTGGAGTCTGCATCTCCAATTATAAAGCTGTCATAGTCTCACTTTAAGTCTCACTCTGCCAACAAATGCCAACATTTAGTCATTTCCCCCAATTTTTCCATTGTATTTGATTGGTTAGTGACAGTATTTCTTCATACCTTGGTCTACGACGATGCGTGGGACTTCCTTCTCCGCAGGAGAGCTGCAGGTAATGCGGTTCCCCTCGACCAGACCGTCCATCTCCGCCAGGTCCTCAAAGGTGCAGTTGACCCCTGCAGAAAGTTCTGGCACGTTATGTGCCTCCAGCACTAGCTGTCAAGGAAAAAGAAAAGACAAGTTGAAGTTATTCAGGAGAGAAAATAGAAGGCAATAACGGACAGGACAAACTTTGGTGTGTGTCACAAACGGACACACCAACTTTGTGCACAAAATAAACTAATTTTTGCTGCCACTGCCCCTAAAACTGCTGTAACGTGGATATTTTCTCATGTCCGTGATTTGAAATGCTCTTGAGAGAGAAGGAAGTCTGGAGACTCCACACATGGGAAATCTCAATCCAGCCGCAGACATCAAGACATCCCAGAAAACACACGCAGCCGTTCCATAAATATCCCAGCTGACATTTGGCCAACCGCACAGCAAAATCAGGCCATTGAACCAGTGGCCACATATCTCCTAAATTTCCTAGAGGAAAATGTCCAGAGACATCAAGAGACTTCAGTCAGCCATCAGTCAGCCTGTACTGACTCTAATGTGTTTCACTGAACACAAGTGGGTGGGAAATTGAGAGAGAGAAGGAGAGAATGAGAAAGAGAGAGGGCTATGGGGTGAGAGTTTTCATTCTCTTTTTTCTTTATGACTCTCATCTGGAGAGCCGCTGCTCGCTCGCTCTCCTTGTGTCCTCTCCATCTCTGTTACCCACAATGCCCTCTGGCTCCCAGCCTTCGAATGAATTTCAAGCCCTGCTCTGAAGCACATGTGTTGCCTGACACCAGAGTCAGATTAAGTGAGAAACAGAAGGGGACGATGGCAAAGAGAAGGAGAAAGAGCAACTGTCATGAGACTGAAAGAAATTCCCCTTTACATGTCCCCTTTATTATCTGCATACAACTATGCATTTAACATACTGTATAATACAGAAGTTGCACCACCAATAATCAGTCATTTTCCAATTTCAATTTCTATTGTCAGTAAAACATTAATGCGGTAAAATATACGTTTAAATACTCAATAATTTATATTAATACATTTGTGACTTTGAAATCACAAGAACTTTTTTTTTATTTTTCTCTTGTTAACAGCAACTCATTCCACATTTAATAATCTCTTTTTTTACCCCTAATACCCAGATAGATCTGAATACTAAACGAATCACGTTAATGTCAAAGAAAGCTCAAAAATAAGGAGATTGCAGGAAGAGAGAATAATGAAGTTGTATACAGTAAGAAAGGCAACAAAAATTCCCCGTTTAAAATTCCCACAGTGGCGCTCTCTGTCAGTTTGACTCTGTTGGGGGTCCATTTGGGAAAGCGTGCAGGAATATCCACACTAATAGGAAGCCGCAGCCTTGCATGGAGTGGCCCTGCACCCTGCATTACACTGGTGATATGGCCTGAAATACCCTTTACTCAACAGAACGGCTGACCGGGGCTGTTTTTAGATTGCTGTTTAATGAAAAGGCAGGGACATGTAGCAGACACTCTTTTCCCATCTCACCCCCTCTCTCGCTGTTTTCCGCTTTCCCATTAAAGTTCAGGATGCACCGGTGGATGGCGGCGCCACTCTGGGATTTAATTTATTTTTCCTTTTAGAAAGGGATGCAGAGAGAATTTCTTCAATTACATTTCAAGCAGCGGCGAACAAACCCTCGCGGTCCACGATAAATATGAAAATCATCCCGCTCTGAGAGGGACCCGACAAACAAACAAACATACAAAAAGGCCTCTCGCAGCAGAGGGTATGACATGAGGAATATGGTGTCTTTGATTACCTCCTGCCTCAACAGAAGAATGCATCAAGACGGCAGACTCTCACAGACTTCAGATGCTGATGCGGGTTTCTAATTACTCTTCAGGATTTGTGAGTGGAGGGAAACAGAGATGTCGATGTACCCCCAGAGACCCCGAGAGCTATGAGACTCTACCTATTGTACCCCCTTGTTGTACTTTAAAATCGCATGGATAAAATCAATCTACATTTAAATGAATTCTGAGAGCACCTATAGTGTAAAATCCAGTCATGATTGATGTTTTCCGTAAACAACTAGTTTAATCCTTCTTCAGAATAATGCTAAAGCTGTGCTATGCTCTGCTTATCAGAGCCTCGGTATTATCTAAAAAGAAACTTCTTTGGTAAATGCACTTAGTAATTCAAACAATAGCATTTTAAAAGAGGCAAATTCCTTTTAAGATAGGTTTTACTGTGGTTTGGGTGGAAGTCCGGGAAGGCTTATGGATAAAATGTGAAATAACATGAAAATATGAAATAGTCAAAAAAAATGTTTTTCTTTTTTTGATGAGAAACTTACTTCAATCCCTAAATTCTCCCTGCAGACTGAACAAAGGAGCTTTGTGCTTATCTCCTCAAACAAATATTTAATAATGGAAAAAGGTCAAGAAGCAGCATGAATGCCTATAGTGTGTTTTGTGCACAGTTTGCAATTTATTGCATTGCAGATGTGTTGTTTTCCTCTCAGTAATTCCAGTTTGAAGAAAAAGGTCAGTCTCTCTCTGACTCGGTCTGTGTAAATTGCATACCAGTCATTTCATAACAAACATACACATTTATAAAAATACTGTTAAAACTGTAACATTGTGCACAATTTAAAATAACTTTTCTGTTTTAATATTGCTGTGATTGCAAAGCTGAATTTTCAGCAGCTATTACTCTAGTCTTTTTGACATGATGCTTCAGAAATCATTCTAATATGCTGATTTGCTCAAGAAACAATGCTTATTATATGAATGTTGAAAACCTTGATTTTTTTTCAGGATTCTTTGATAAATGGATTGTTCAAAAGAACAGCATTACAAAAGTTTTTACTGTCATTTTTGATCAGCTTAATGCATTGCCAAATAAAAGTTTTTACTTTTAATAAAAGTAAAAATAAATAATAAAAAAAATTATTATTATTATTATATTGAACATACTATAATGTGATGATCATTTTTACATCAAACCAACTCAAGTCTACTGGTCTAAGCTGGTCTTTTCAGCAGGGATGTAGTCATGTTAAGATTCAAAGGATTACAAAAATTAAGAGGATTGAGCTCATTATTTAAAGCTTAAAGCCTTAGAACTCTCAGAACACACCTGGAGAGTTTATACAAGAACTTCTTGTGAAATGGGAATCTGGTGATATGATCACACCAACTCTTCAATGACTGTGAACAGCTACTACTGAATCTCCTGACATCTGCTTTGACTGGTTGCCTAGATACGGTTGACACAAATGCTCTGTTTGAAAGAAATACAGTACTTGCATATGGAGAAACAATGCTGTGTAAATGATTTCGTGTTATCTAAACATATCTAGGTCCTGGTTAAACATCATTCTATGGAGCACAGATCTTGTGTTATATGGTGACGTAATGGGAGTTTATTAGCTCTTATACGGTTTAGTAGTTGAGATTTTGATTTTGGGCCCAGAATACAGATCCTGAATCAGCTGAAAGCCAGTTTCTCTAGTGGAGACGTTAATCTGATATAGAGGCTCAGAGGAGGTGCTGGATTACATGAGGATAAGGTCTGAAACCATGGCCTGCTTTGATGGATTTTACACACACACACACACACACACACACTCAACAAGCATGTGGTAGAGTCAGCACTTATCTGACAAAACACCAACACAAAAAATGAACTGTCCTGACAAGGGATATGGGCACAGTGACTGGCATGAGAAAACAGACCTGATATGACACCCTGACTGTGTTTACATGCATAACAATAATATGATATTAATCAAAATTTGGTCACATTCAGGTTATCATGTAAACCAAATTAAGCCAATTTTCTCATTTCCAGAAATCGGAATAATATAGATTATTCACAAACCCATAACATTCATTCAGATCTGTGCGTGATCAAACAGGCAATTTTGGGTGATATTTGTACCAAATAGTCATAAAATACTAACCTTCAAAGAAAAATGTATGGCGCAAGGAGGAGATTCATATTAAGGGTGCTTTCACACCTGGTCCGTTGTTTCGGAACCTGGCGCATTTCCCCCCTTAGCTCGGTTCGTTTGGGCATATGTGAACACGGCAATCGCGCTCAGATCCGCGCCAAAACAATCGGTCCGAGATTGCCTGAACAAGGTGGTCTCGGCTTGATTGAAAACGAACTCTGGAGCGGTTCGGATGTAGTGAGAAAGCAATCCAATCTAACGGACCAGCGAACCAGGCTATATCACAATGTATAATGGGTAATTACGTAAGTTCTGTGGAAAGCATTAGCTTTGTTGTTTTGCTAATACTTCAAAATGAACCATGCAAATGGCTGTGGATGAGCACATCTTCGCCATTCAAAATCAAAGCGCACTTTTTCATTTCATAATGCCGTCTCATTGCTCTTCTTCCTTGTATGTGCATTTTAAAAATGTTTTCCCGATGAATCCTGGACTCCTGCTCAAAGTGATAAATTAATATAACGACATCTACAAAAAAACCCCCCAACAATAGGCCCGCGAAGCTGTTGTCGTTCCATCCTGACAGATGACAGCTGTGACAGCTAGTGGAATCCTGAAAATAAACCGTGAAACTTTGACCAATGAGAGAAAAGTTTACTCGCGCGTGACTTGTATTAACAAATTTGGTCCGTTTAGAAACATTGCCGTATGAAAGCAAACGGCACCAAGAATAAAAAGCAACATTGTAATAATTTTAATCCCAGTTTTGGAACAAAGCAATCGATCTACAGGTGTGAAAGCACCTTAAAAGAAATATCATGGCCTACATTTATTGGAGTCTCTTGTCCTACATTTTGCAATTAATCAAGCTCTTGTGTGTTATTGTTAAGGCCATGACTGAAAATTAATGAATTTGTTAGATTACTGTTCAAAATTACCAAAAATATAGTATAATAAATGGCAACAGCAAGCATCTCCAGTATTTCTTAAAGAGAATAGCAGTTTATCCATTTCAAAAACAGTGGAGAATGTAAATGTCTTTTTCAGAAAAACAGCTGGATTTTAATCAGAAAATGACATGTTTGATTTAATGAAGTACACAACCCAGAAAAACAGTAAATCAGCTTTGTGTCATGTGTGTGACTCAATGCAAACGTCACTAAAATAACATGGCACGTGTGGTACGGTCAGGCTGCATGACGTGTCTTCATAAACCCATCAGTGTAACAGGCAGATCCATAAAGGCTGAACTTAAGACTATGATCACATTAATGATGGAGCCAGAAGAATAATGGGCTCCATAACTGAGTTAGTGAAGGCTAATGTCAATATGTCCAGTGTTTGGCTTTATCCTCAGAAACACTTAAAGGGGTTCAGTAATTCCTCAGTATTCCTTAAGGATATTTTATGGTGTGATTACACAGACGGAACTGGGGTGAGAATTGAAAATTAGCGCTCACCATGACACTGTATTGAGACACGGAGATGTTGTTGGGGTGAACGCTGAGTCTCACACACTGCTTTATATCAGAGGCAAAACGACGAGGCTCTGACGACCGCTCGCACTTCTCCTTCCTGGTGCACCTGGAAAACAAAGACAAAAAAGAAATACGTGAGAAAGACAGCGTGTAAAAGGAAGACAAAGCATTTGATAGAATAGGGGGGGGATCAAAACAGCTGCACAAATGCGTTCAACCATCTCCCATCTGTGACCAGCACAGCATGAAGGAAAGAGAACACAAGCTTGGTTACTAGTCCAAATCCATGCATTATATTTCTGTTTCATATTTCAGGAGAGAGGGAGCAGTTACAGAGAGAAAGAAAAGACCAGTTGGTTGTGGTGACTCTATCCTGTTTCTGTTCTCTCAGCAGTGCTAAAACAACAGCGACTCTATTTGTGGAAGCAGAGCAGGCCCAAAGGGCCGAGGGACAAGCCAGCTTTGTGTTCTACCCTTAATGAAGCGTATTCATGGCTGGCGGGTTCTGCAGGTGGGGAGAAGCAGAGCTCAGAGACCCTCCCTTAGATCCAAACACCCACCACTCTGATCCGTTCACAACACTGGGTCACAGAGCCGATGAGGAGACCACCCGAACACTGTGACATCTAATCCAGACACATCAGATTACGGGACCAAGGTTAAGCACATTTAAGACTATTTTACACTAGTGACTTTTAGTTCTGACCGCTTGACTTGCAAGTTACAAACTGGTGCTAAAGAACCCAGATACTAATACAGAGTGCTGTTTTCCTGGACCCTGTGACAGTTAATTAATATAATATTTAATTATAAAATGTAATTCTAAAAATTCAGCGCTATTGAGTAGAAAATTAAACACAAATTTACTTCTAATTAAATATTAAAATAAAGTTAATATTTAAATTTAAATATAATGTATTAACAAATTATTTTATATATTCATATATTATTTATTAATAAATAAAATATTGTATGTTTTTATTTGACTTTTTTTTTTATAATTAAAAAAATATAATCAACTAAAAATACAAATTACACTGCAAGTATTTATAAGAACCAATATACTACAATATAATACAATATACCATTTTTGGGTAAAAGACCCAAAACATGTTGTAATCGTTCATAAAATATACCTGCATATGAAAGCGTGCAATTGAGTCCTACACTTAAGCATTTCAAAGTTTTTTTTGCTTGGAAAGTACAACAGTGGATAAAATAGTCTGCTCTCACTGGGTTTTTTAGCCTGTCATTCCCCTGACTAATCCAGATTGGCTTTATTCAAATCTGTGAAGCAATTAACTACGAATCAGCACAGAGTCCTTACGAGAGGGAGAGAAGTTTATAACCGATGACAGTTGTGACAGGGTTTTCTTCCACAGCAGAAAAGAAGGCGGGAGAGAGAGGTAGGACAGTGAGTGAATGAATTGAAAAGTTAAGAAGCCTAACGTGGAGAACTCTGAGAACAGAATGGGAATAATCTGCTGGTGAATGAAAGAGGAAACGAAAGAGATTTAAATGGCAACAATCATCCTCTTTCTCTGTGCTAAGCAGGTCTAAGATGTGTTTAATCAGAATGGCCTCCTTTGTAGCTCCAATCACACATCCTGAATCCCTTTTCTGTAGCTGATTTAATAAGCATGCTGTACTACGTGTTCAAACACACACACACACACACACACACACACACACACACACACACACACACACACACACACACACACTTACACTAAGTGGAAGCTATGGGTGGTGAAACATTGAACTCTAAAATGACAGAGTGTGTAGCATTCTCAGAGTGCTGTGGGAGAGACAAACTGTCTTGTGCAAGTGTCTGGATGATTTGGCGGGGCTGTGCATCCCACAGTTAGACGCACTTGTCAAAGGCCTTTAATAAAACATCACACCTAACAAGTCCCTCTCGGTCCGCACCCATTACGTAAGACTACAGGAAAGTATGTAGGCAGTGAAGCCAGTTTAAACACAGACATTATTCTTTCTCACCAATAGGGGGCGTATGAGGGTTGTCTGTTTATAATTTGGAAATTACAGGGGCTTTGACATGTTGTGGCTGAAACAAGTCAACTCAGTTTATAAGAACAGGAATATTTCTTATTTAAACGGGCTATAAAGGAGATGCCTGCTTATGGCCTGAGAGCACTGTAAAAACATTTATGAGCCTTCATTTACGAGCTTGTGTAAAAGGCCCGGAGACAAATATCAGCAGGATAAATAGCACTGTTTGTGTATCTCATACCTTTAATAAATTAAAAATGTATTGGATAAATAAAATGAGTGTGAAACTGGCCTTATGTACTTTCTTTATTCACATTTCCAGTTAAATAGTGAACAGTATTTATTTATTTCTATGTAATATTTAATTGTCCAATCAGTTCCTAATGGATAAAACCTGAAAAAAGTTTTTTTCAGAAATTTCTGTTGCATTTGGAAATATTATAAACAATATTATAAATATAAAATGTTAATATAAACAAAACAGTATATTATACATTTCATAGTAGATTTTTGTAATATAAAATCATAATACACTCTAAATTTGATACATATGACATTACAATATACTACATATTTCATATTAATATTAATACATTGCATTGTATAACTGACTTCTATTAGTTAATTATAATATATTACATTATATTATATTTGATCAAAGTTTAAAATGGGTTGCATTTCCAGTTTCAATACTTTTCTGGTGTGTATTTGTGTGTACTTCATTAATATTTCTACATGTGTGCATGTGCAGTTAAATGAGTTTATTAAAACTATCTCAGCTCTCTGCAAATGCTTTTCCATCTGATGAATTGGTGATCTCCTTGATAAGTCATCCAGCGCGCACCTGTCAACACGTGGGAGGTTTGTTTTAATACCTTATCATTAGTAAAGTAAACTGCTCTGTTAGACGACTAAGGAGTAATTTGTTTCCCTCGTTATGTAAATGCTGCCCGAACATGGAGAAATGTGGTACTTTGATGAATAATGAACAGGAAATGAAATCGCATCAAAGCGATCAGGCAGACGGGAGCGCTGGAGTGGGCACATGCAAAACACTCAGGACGGCCTCCTGGCATCTCGCCTGCCCTCTCTCTTCCTGTTCCCCTCGTGACCCTCCGTTCACTCTGCTCTCTGACACATTGACCTAAATACCATTACATCACCCATGCTAGCAGAGGAGGAAATAAACAAATAAACAACTACGCACATCGATAAATGAATAAAAACATGTAATTAGTGCATTCAAATTCATTTTACTTGCCAGTTTTGTGTTTTGATGGGGGGGGGGGGGGAGCTTGCAATGCCACCCGTCGCATTAAACCCACATTTTAATGCTTTCAGAAGAAAGCAGCTAACAGAGTCAGCCAGAAGCAGCTAAATTAATAAATTCTGTTAAAATAATAAATCCCTCAAGGAGTTTTATTCAACAGAGTTTCACTTGCTGTTCAACTAAAACTGACCATTTACCATAAGAATGAGTTCGGGCTCATAGTACCAACCTCGCTTTGCCAAGACTAATGGTTACACTTTACTTGAAGGGGTGTGCATAATACTGACATGACACCTTCATAATCATGACATGACACATGTCATGAATATGAAGGAGGTTTTATGCATGTTTATGACAACTGTCATTAAGTGTCATTCGCTCAGTCATGTAATTTTTAATGCAAAGATGACATTGTTTGAGATGTCTTTGTTATGGGCTATGATTAGGGGTAAGGGTAGGGTTAGGTCATATTGTTAGGTCATATAAATAATGTCATATTTGCATTAAAAATGACATAACTGAGCGAATGACACTTAATGACAGTTGTCATAAACATGCATAAAACCTCCTTCATATTCATGACATGTGTCATGTCATGATTATGAAGGTGTCATGTCAGTCTTATGCACACCCCTTCAAGTAAAGTGTTACCAGACTAATTTATAATAAACATGAGGAAGCACATTTCTCATGTGTGACTGAGGACAGTGGCCTAGTGGAGTTTAAAGTGTGTGAACTCCCAAGGTCTGACCAGCAGCATGAACAAAGACAGGTCTAATGGGACAAATACTACAGAAGGAGGTTTCATAAGATAGAGACTGTCTATGCTTTGAAAAGCAAACCAACACACTAATTTGAGGAGTACATGTTGGGAAGGTTACTTTGGAAATGTAATAGGTTACAGATTACAAGTTACCTTATTTAAAATCTAATAAGTAGTGTAACAATTACTTTATTGAAGTAATGTAACTGATTGCATTTGATTACTTTTCAAAACTTCTGTTTTCAACTGTTAATCAATTTCAAACATTTAAACCATGCATAAAATACTGTATCCCATGATGCAATGCGCTTGACCTGACCTTCTATTTCTAATTTGAAAAGCAGACAGAAATAAAAATTTCAGCAACAAATTTGACCTTTTTCTTTCATTCATGTCTTGAAATTAATTAAATTAAAAATGAAAAAGGATTAAATTACTTCAAGAAAGAGAGTAATGAGTAAGAGGCAGAAAAAAGCGAGAAAGGAAGAAAGAGAAATGTAAAAGCACTAAATATATCGACTTCATTAGTTTGATTTCATCAGTTTGTCATTAGCATGTGGCTAAGCTAACAACACAATACTCTAAATAAGCATATATACATTCTTTTCAGTATTAAATAAAATAGAAGTTGAGTTACAATTGCTATTTCTCTCATCTCACCCAACGCCTCAGTTTTTTGAGCTTGTTGCAGATCATTCTGTCATTGCTGCTTTAGAATCTGGCCAAAGTTACTGCAGATAACTTAGGAAGCAGAATAATTAAGATCCTACCTTTTATAATAACCTTGGAACTGGAAGTGTGTTTTAAAATGCTACCACCGCAGTCATAAGTTTTGATAGCAGAAGAAAAACACCTACCATTCCT